CTGGAATCTTCGACCCGTGATGTTGGGATCCATTCCGCTTTGGTAGGAGAGTAACGTGCCAATTAATGAGGTTTATCATTTCCCTCTTATTCGGGTGGGATGTGGATAAGGTTTACGATTACACAACATGATCCCAAGAAGTTCGGAGATGACTATTGAGCTTCTGAGTTTGGTTACTCGGCACAAGTAGATACCGAGGTACCCCGGGCTCCGGAGTGACCAAGTGTCCGAGGTCCCCCGCTTTGCTGACGTGACTTCATACGTTGATTTGTCACTTGGCTGGCAGGTTGAGTCCACGTGTCCCTTGCATACTAGGTCGGGCTAAATCACCCCTCATCAATTGCCCCCACACCCCGTGTCGGGGGTCCTGACCCGATGCAAGGGGTTCATGACGAGCCCAAGTGGATTTGGCACGATGTCGAGATGATACGGAGGGTGGCTCTTCGGTCGGACCTGCATGGCCGCTTGGCTCAACCGGATGTCAAAACACGCGCTCAATTGGCTTCAACCTTGGGTGGCGTGTAGTCATTTTTCATGGGAGTTGTTGGATCATGCAGATCTCGACCATTGAACCTCGCTCGTGATGGCTATAAATAGGGACCAAAGGGGCCCATTTTTCTCACCGTAAATTGCATGATCAAGTCATTGAGGTTGCATTCAAGTCTTCCAAATCAGTGTTAGTTGTCCTTGTGTCCGAGGTCATCTCGCTTCCTATGATCTTCTGGGTGAGTTCATCTTTCTCTGCCTTTGTTGTTGTCTTTTTTCCTTCAGTCCAATATGTCTAGTCATAGTATAGATAGCCTTCTTGATGGGAGTGATGAGTCCGTCGGGGTCGAGGTGGGCACCTCGGCCTATGTTGAGGAGTTTGGTCCTGTCGAGGCAAATGCTTTGGTTGAAGGTCTGGACTTCACTTCGGATAGGGCGGACATGTCAGGTCAAAACCATGAGGTGTCCGAATAGGGGGGTCCACCTCGCGTCCTAGTCGGAAGACAGATCGCTTCGGCCCTTCCACTATGACTGCTGAAAGGCTACCGTCCTTAGTTTCCCACTATCGATTCCCCGATAACCACAAGTACAACATTCCGTTATGTCAGTACCCCTGGGATCACGAGTCAAACGAGATTGTTGTTTACGAGGAACAGCTCGTAACAGGACTCCGATTCCCACTTCACCCCTTCATTGTAGATGTCCTTCAGTTTTTTAGTGTCACTATAGACCAGCTTCACCCGAACTCCATCCGGTCCATCATCGATATCATCTCTTTGTTCCACGAGTACAATAAACCCTTGACTCTCGAGGTGTTCAACTCGCTCTGTGCCATTAAGAAGAACTCGACATGCGTCTTTAAGGACGAGAAGCACAACTATTATATTTCCCCTCGGCCGAGGTACAAAGTCTTACATGGCTTTCCCAATAAAGTGTCGGCCTAGAAAAAGCAATACTTCGTAGTCTTTGTAGTCGGGGGTGGCCATTCTCGACGAAGTGGAGGACAACCATTACTAACCCTAGAGTCCAACTGAATAGTGAAACTTCGGTGATGATCCGCTCTTGGGTCGATCTCAACTTGCAACTGAAGGATTTCTTGTCTGAAGAGAAGCTTGTGAAAGACGGGCTGAGTCCTTCAGGTTGGTCGTCACCTTGGTGCACACACATATTTTCTTCTAGTCGCGTGGCGAGCTGGACCAAGCTGTAAGATAGAGGATTAGAGAACCCAGGGTGGCTAACTTGGTGAAATCGCTCTGATGCTTAAGTCAGTACAGTATTATGGATGTGAGCTAAATACTTGAGTGCTAGAGTGATAGTGAGCAAATAATTGCTCATACATGAGTCTTGGGGGTTGATACCCTTATATAGCTGAGATGTCGTAGGTCTCTCGAAACGTTCCCGGAATCTTTAACCCATGACGTTAGGATCCGTTCCACTTTGGTAGGAGACTAATGTGCCAATTAATGAGGTTTATTGTTTCCCTTTGATTCGGGCAGGATGAGGATAAGGTTTACGATTACGTAGCGTGATCCCGAGAAGTTCAGAGGTGACTGTTGAGGTTTTGAGTTCGGTTACTTGGCACCTCGGTGCAAGTAGGTACCGAGGTACCCCGGGCTCTAGAGTGACCAAGTGTCCGAGGTCCCTCACTCTGCTGACGTGACTTTGTACACTGATTTGTCGCTTGGCTGGCAAATAGAGTGCACGTGTCCCTTGCATACTAGGCCGGGCCAAATCAGCCCCCATCAGATAGGCTTGAGCCCGGCCTAGCCAAATATCTAATTACTAATTGTTGTTGAACTTTGATGTTATTTATCTTTTTATCATTTTTTAAATTCATATTGTTTTATCAATTGTTGAAGAAGAAATGGTGAATGTCAACACTCTAAGTACGATAGATGGTGATGTTATTTATCTTTTTATCAATTATTCTATGTCAATACTGTTCATAAGGTGACTACTCATATTCATAAGTTGACTACCTTTTAAAAGTTGAGGCTTATGTTTACGTTGTTACCATTCACAAATCAACTACATGTAGTTTTCATGAGTTTGAGCTGATAAAATTGTACTTCCTCTTGCTTTGATTAGTTTAGTTTATATTTTCTATTATTTGTCTATTAAGAGGCATTTTATTTGTATTATGTTTACATTGTATTATCATTTGTATTTGAGGTGTTTAAAGAAGAGAAGACAAGTATTTGCAAAGATAGCACCAAAGAAGTCTATCCAAGTATACAAGCACCCGGAAGCCCAACTAGTTGTAACAGTTTGACTGGCATCGAGGAAGCTCATTCAGTTTGGTTAGTGAAATTTTCAAGAGGTGTCTAAGGAGAGGATGTAGGTTAGGGTTGGTTGAACCTCTGTAAAAATCTTTGTGTGGTTTATTTTTTTGCATTTTTTCTTTTACTTGTTTGTTATTATTTATTTGATTGCTTTATCTTTCCACTGCATTCACATAGTACACACTTTGCCTTCACATTCATTGTTCTTGCATTCATCTCGTTAAAAGGCTTTAGAAAAAAACGAGAAGTTTCAAATACCTAATTCACCCCCTTCTTTAGTTAGGCTATGTTCACGACAAATGGTATTAGAGCAAGTTCACCATGAATCAGCTTAATATAGCTAGTTGAGTAGAATGGCCACCCAAGGAAATGAGAATCTACTTCATCTCTCTTGAGTATAAGCTTTGGGATGTAGTTGAGAAAGGCCCATCAGTAGGGGAGAAAGATAATGATAAAGCCACAAACCTTTTAAAAGGAGGGTTTCATAGTAAAGAAACTAATAAAATTGCCTCCTACACTATATTACACATGAGATTTGGCATACACTCGAATTTTTGTATGATAGAAGTTTATAATAATATTACTAATGATTTGTACAAGGAAAATGATATCTGTATACAGGTGAAGCACGAGTCTAAAGAAGAAGCTACTAGGACAAAACATGATGAACATTTGGGTGTCGTTTTCTTTTCAGCAAGTTACTTACCCGAGTAAATGCACTTATCTAGGTAAGTCTTTTTTGGGAAACACTTACCGGAGCAAGTGCATTTACCCATGCTCTTTTGTTTCCCATATAAATAAGACAATGATCATTTTAATCATAAAAATTCATTATTAAAAGGGGTTTTTTGTCTCATTAAGTGTTGCCAACTTTCTCCCCAGGTGAGAAGGTTATTTACCCACCTAGGAGATGAGTATTTCAGTTTGTTTTCTGGATTTGGAAAAGTGVAGATTTTCAAGAACGGGAATCTTGTGATATGTTGGGAATCTCTTATGATAATCATCCATGCCTGAAAGTTGGATAGGATGGCCTTTACGTAAGGATTATATTGCCCCCAATTTCTTGATTTATCCACTAGGTCAGTCTGGTTGGTTCTTTGCACCTAGTTTTGGTGTAGCAGCTATATATTTCGATTCATCCTCTTCTTCCAAGGGTTTCATAATTGGACGTTGAACCCATTTCATATGATGGGAGTTGCCGGCGTATTGGGTGCTRCTCTGCTATGCGCTATTCATGGTGCTACCGTAAAAAATACTTTATTCAAAGATGGCGATGGTGCAAATACATTCCGTGCTTTTAAGCCAACTCAAAATGAAGAGACTGGGTTTCTTGGTCAATGGGAATCAAAATCTCATTAACAAACTTTCTCCCTCTCAAAGCCCAAAAAAAAGGAATACCCCCTTAGAAGCAACATCAACATTGGATGATGAAGAAAGCAAGCTGCCAAATGTAAAAGAAATCAATACTATACCAATGGGAGTTAGCAACAAAAATTGCTTTTGATTAGAAGAGTCTCTTGATGCAACAAAGGTCAATGACAATAATAAAAGAAAAAGAAAAAGGAAACAACAAAAATAGTTGTTGCATTTAAGAATTATAATTGGTCAACAAATCACCGAAAAAACTTTTCTTTTTCTTGAAAATTTCCAAGTTTTCTTAAATTCCCATTTCTTAAAAGTTTAGGTGGCGACTCCATCCATTCCATCCATATTCCACCATCTCCCCTTCGGGTGACCATTGTTGCTTGAAGTTTAATAATTACAATCACCTCCCTTAAACTTTCACATAAAATTGCAATTTGCAAGTAAAACCCCTTTGGTGTATCCAAAGACATGAAATGGCCAACAGAAACTTCAAGGGAGGGTCTATATCAGAAAGTTCAAGGGAGACTGACTGCAATTAAGGGGTAGTTTCAGCAACAACAGAAACTTAATCCACACTGGTCAGCAGTATCATGTCCAACGCCCCCATGAAACTTACATTAATTGCTTTGATTCCTTCTGGCCGGATTTCTTCCCATCCGAGGTGGCCAACGAAGAGCCCAGTCAAGAACTCCTTTTGTTTATTTCGGTGGGGCCTGAGGGACTTAGCTATGATAAAGAATTCGTGTTGTATCGCATTGACTTGACTTCTCAAGTCGTCGTCGTCGTCCTCCTCACTCCTCAGTATCGGCGTCTCTTCAGGAACCAGACCCTCAGTCTCAGAGTCATCACTGTTCTTCTTGAAAGGAGATGTCGAGTGAAGCATCTGGGCGGGAAGGCTTCATTCGTTTCCACGATCGATGGTCAAAGGCGGCCGAAGCCATCAATGGGAGCGAAAACCATTCCGCTATGGTGAAAGAACAGATTAAGAGAATTGACAATGATCTCAAAGATATACAGAGATCACTCGAGTTAGTTAACAAATGGGGAAATTCTGTGGACGAAGTGTTCAAATCTCTCAACAACACAATAGGCAACTTCATCGACCGTCTTCAAGAAGAAACGCTGCTCATTTCCGCCGGCAGTATCGCCGAGTCCCAGAACAATCCCGTCACCAAACAAATCAAAAGCATCGCTCGGGAGGTTGGAAAAATCAAGTTTGGTGGGCAGCCCTTACAGAGGCTGCCCACTCTATCTCGTCCTGAAATCGACGAGAAAACAGATCGAACCAACAAGTGGCAAAGGCTCGAGAAAGAGGAGATAATGAAACATCCAGCTGTTTCTGATGCTCGGGCCATATATGAACTTCTTGACCCGCAATTGAAACTCTGTTTTCTTTGCTTGTCCATATTCCCCGAGAATGAGATCATAGGGAAGAGATCTTTGGTCTATTGGTGGATAGGAGAAGACTTCGTGGTGACTTCAGGTGGGCAAGAGGTTGAGGAGATTGGCGAGGAATATTTCATGAAGCTATGCGAGAGCGGTCTGCTCGAACCCATCTACGATGGCCACAGTAGATTTCCTCACAGCTGCAAGCTGCATCCATGGATTCGGTGGATGGCAATTGACATTGCCAAGGAAACCATGTTCTTCGACTTCGACTCTGATGGAAAACCGAGCTCGGGCTCTCCTTGCCAATGCCCCCGACGCGCCTGTGTAGCGACGACCAAGGAGAGACGACCGGAGAAGGTTGATCTCGGTCAGGAGGGAAGCGAACTCCGGTCACTGTTCAACATAGACGTGCATTTCCTGGAATGTAAAGAAGAAGATTTCAAGAAGCTGACCAACTTAACGACACTGCAACTGGGGCGGTGGAAAGACAAGCCCAAATATCATATTGAAGTGATGAACACCAGCTTCTTGGATCACTTGGGTCTTCTCAAAAACCTGAGATTTCTCGGGCTACAAGGGATTTCAAGAATCACAAAGCTGCCGGACTCAATCCAAGAGTTGACGGAATTGATGGTCTTGGATCTCAGAGCATGTCATAATCTGGAGGAACTGCCGGCGGGGATCGCCTCCCTAAAGAAGCTGACCCACTTAGATGTGTCGTACTGCTACCTACTGGAATACATGCCCAAAGGTCTCGGATCCCTTTCAGATCTTCAGTTCCTGGGTGGATTTGTAGTGAGCAGTTTAAGAGGGAAAGAAGCCTGCAAACTCAGCGATCTGTCGAGACTAGTGAAACTTCGGAAGCTTAGCCTAAGCTTGGCCGCAGATACGACTTCAGAAGAACTGAAAGCTCTAGGAAATATTAAAGCCCTCAAATCTCTCACAATAACCTGGGGAGCAGCTTCCTCCCCGGCGGAAAAGAATGGCAGACAATACCAGAACCAGAAGTTTTCCAGGTCCACCAGAATTCTGAAAAAATTAGCAACACAACTAACAAGGAAGTCTACGACATCCAAACAATCTACAGCGATATCATCATTTGAGATATCCCTTCCTCCCAGTCTTACAAAGCTGGATCTCCGATGCTATCCAAACATTCATGCACCAAAACTGCGTAGGGTCGAGGACGGAACGGCTTCGGAGGATTGCTTGAAGAAACTCTACTTCAGGGGTGGGAGCTTGAGCAGCCTACACGGAATAGAAGGTAAGGCGGTGTCCAAAGTGGAGGTAATCCGTCTAAGATTTCTACAGAATTTCAGTATGATGAAGCCTGACCTGAAGAGAGATTCCCTTCCACACCTGAAATATGTTGAGATTTTCAACTGTCCTCACATAGACGAATCGTTTGCAGAAAATGGAACCGGAGATGGGATTGGACTGGACCAAGCCAGCACAAGCAATACTAATGCAAATTCTCATTCTCCGATTTTTTATAAAATCGTACCATGTCCTAGAAAACAGTGAGACAACGCAAGCTGAAGTTGGAATGGTTTTGAAGTTGCTTTTTTTTTTTTTGTTTAATTTCATCTTTGGTTTTGTTGTTCTGATGCAAGCTTATTGATAAAACTCTAGTAAGATCTTTTTTCGTTATGGTTGTTTGCTGTTCCTGTTCTGTAGGAAATCTCAATTTAGAAATTGATAAAACTCTGGATGGGTAGATGCAACCAAACATTTCGAAAAATTCAACAAATCCTCTAATCTCTGAATGCTCTCCCCTGTTTTCTCATGCCATGAAACCCATAAATCTCATAGTGATAACTGATAAGCAATTGCTGATGCTTAGATATTCAGTCTGAATACTCTCTGAATCTTTTTTTTTTTTTTCCAGATAATCAAGTTTAGAACTGTATAGCAGCACCTATGATAAGGATTATAGCCTAGAACAGCCAGGTTTTCATCACTTAATGTAATACATTTAAAATCTAGTGTATACATTAATATAAAATAAAATTTATACTATATATCGGAACCCAATTACAAACCAAAGTCCTCTATAATTGGGTGAATTTAATTCCAGTCAATCAGGCCATCCCGACCAATTGACAACTCTAGATGAAACAAAACCTTTTTTAGTGACAAAAATAACTATAAGCCCCTAATAAATTAAGAAAAGTTGTTTTATAGCCAATATTATTGACCTCTATGTATATAGACCATTTGATATATTTTTCGTTGATCAGTCCATCCCAAGTCACACTAGTATCTATATTATATATGAAATGCAGTTGCCAACTTAGCAGCCTTTCTCCACCCTCTTAGACCCCTCTTTTTTCTGCATTTTTTTTTATTTTTAAAAGATAAAAATAACCAGAAGGCATTAGTAAATCATTTGTCATTGATTGAAATGTTCTATTTATTATATTAAAAAAATTATTTAATACAAAAAATTAAACACGAATATTCATATAAGATTAGATATCTAATAGTTAATATCTTAAATTAGTTAGTTAATTAATTGATTGATTAATTTGGTTGAGTCATTCCGAATATTTTTAATTTTGTCCGGTTTTAATTTTATATTAATCTAATACTCTATGAAAGGATTTGTGGATATGTGTATAAAAAAGTCTAAACTATTGAAATAGTTCATAATTTTTTTACTTTTAATATTACATACACAAAAAATATTAATTTAAAGAATGATTAATGAGCACAATATCAATCTATATTGCATATAAAAAGAATTGGGTCCATGCTCGATAATTATGCAAAAATACAGAGAAAATTACGAAATTAAAAAAAAAAAAAAAAAAAAAAAACTATCCAGTTCTTTAGGCTTGTAATTGAGTTGGAAACACATTGGATGATCTACATCCAATTCTGCTTTATTGTGTTTAAAATAAAGAAAAATTAAATAGTTTCTAACTTATGTGTGTATAATAAATTCATATAA